AAAATCTCAGCGTGTATTGAAGCCAGAAGATTTCCATCCTCACTGGTGGATCAATACAGGAGGTTGGCGTCCTAAAAATTCATCAGAATCTTGTCTACCTTTTCTGCCTCTTATGATCGTCATCTTATCGCAAGCTGCTTGGTAGCGGTCACCTTCTGCTGCTCGATGGCAGTCTCCTGCTGCTTTTCTCCTCAATGGCAGCCACCTTCTGCTACTTGGTAGCGACCCTAACTGCCTCTGCTTGGCGGCGGACTCCTCCTGCTACTGCTTCTGCTTGGCGGCGGACTCCTCCTGCTACTGCTTCTTCTTGACGGCGGGCCGCTCTTCCTCCTTGTCGACAGCCTTACGTGCTGCTTCGTGGCTTGTGCTTGAATGATGGCACAAGCTCTGATAGAAACGAAAGGCAGATAGAAATGGAGTACCATATGTTTGGTACAAAGGGGTGGCAATACGAAAATCTGGGGTAGCTTTAACGACTCCCTAAAAAAGTATATACTTGACATATCTAGGCATCGTAAAATTTTTTTCTCGTTTCTCTGTTGTACAGTAGTGACCGTCTTCTCGCAACATTTTGGTCATTTGACGGCTGGCATGTAACATCGTAAGAAGTGGATATTTTCGTATTGTAAAAAGTCTTTTCGCGTTTAGGCCTTGTAAGAAGGAAATGACCGCCCCGTAATATACGGTATCATTAATGTGTTGACAATCGTACGTATGGGAAGATCATGCGCCATATTGCCACGTAGTTTACGGCCTCGCCGGTGTTACAGATCTTTAAACGAAGATCATTGCCTCGGAGAGGACTGCGACGATGGTGCATGAGCTAGGTTAATGCACAAGGTTATATTGATCACGTTATATGAATTACTATACGAGAGCAGCAACCAAGAACCCGAACAAGTTCGGGATATAACAATCACACTCTGGTTTTGCGTTCATTCAAATAAGACTTTGTGGATGCAATCACTGGAAACGGCTACACTGTGTGATGTGCAGGTGCGGCCGTACGTGGCTACCAGTGGTATCACGCAGTAGCTCAAGAAAACGACCCAACTATACTATGAGCGTTGTGGAATATGAACACCGTGGACACGGCTGCGCGGGTTTCGTTTCGAACTCGGGTAATTTCCTTCACAGAAGAAGGATGCACAAGGTATGCCATGGATGGATCTGCGGCGGCAGGTCACGTTGCAGTGGACCAGATATACTTCGCGAACACCCTAGTGAATGCTGTTCCTTTGTCGATGCAAGAAGCAGTAGTAGTGGGGCGAGCTGGAACAGCGAGCTCCACGGGTTGGGACCAACCATGCCCATCCGCCCGCAAAGCGGGCGGCACTTGGCTAGTCCACTACTTTTAACTAGAGCAACGTGTCTGTCTGTCTGGGCTTCCGTCCGCGGCTAGGGTTAGTTAGGGGGACGCAAATCCCGACATTCTACAGGGTGCTGAGCGAAGCGAGGCGGTCCAAAACGACACCTCTGGCAACCTTGCGGGACCTACCGGC